TCTATAGATATACTAGAGTGTAGTGGTGTGATCTCAACTCACTATAACCACCACCTCCTAGGCTCAAGCCATCCTCCCACCTCAGCCTCCTGAGTAGCTGGGACTACAGATAAGTGCCACCACATTGGGCTAATTTTTATAGTTTTTGTAGAGACCAGGTTTCGCCCTATTGCCCACGCTGGTCTCAAACTCCTGAGCTCAGGCAATCTTCTTGCCTTGGCCTCTCAAAGCGCTGTGATTACAGGCGTGAGCCGCCACACCCACCATACATATTTTGATTTTAGAAACTACCTCCCTCCCCAACTCCCACCCTCCCAGGTACCTTCGGATTCCTCCCTCAGCCTGATGTCCACTGTCCTCTCTCAGTGCATCGGAGCATCTGAAACCCAATTATGTAGAGAATTCCAGCTTCTTCCCACATTGTTTCTGGGTCTCATTTACATTCGAGCATGTGACTGAACAACCAGTTTACTGTTCCTGACAATCAAGGAAGATTGCCTGGAATACACAGAAATACCTGATCATGGGAGACGAAGCCGAATTTCACTTGCTTCATTCTGTCCAAGTCAGTGTAACCTATTAAGCTGGCACAGTGGCTCTCAAGCTTCATCATTCATTAGAATCACCAGGAAAGCACATTTAAACACAGGTTGTTGGACCTCACCATCAGTGTTTCTGATTCAGTAGGTTGGAACTCGGGGGAGGTGAGAGTATACATTGCTAATGAATTCTTAGGTGATACTGACCCTGCTGGTTTGGGGACCATACTTGGATAACTGAAACCCGGAGTGACTTCACTGTGTTAGACTGGATTGGCTTAGCAGATTAAAATTACTGCTATTCATTATTTAGTTTCTGGTTGTTCAAGGCAAGTCCTGGTGGGAATGTCTTAGTTCAGGCTTCCATAACAAGTACCATTGACTGGGTGACTCAAAAACTACAGAAACTTCTTCCTCACAGTTCTGGAGACTGGAAGTCTGAGATCAGGGTGCCAGCATGCCCCTTTACTTTGAAATAAATCGGTATGCTTTTCCTAAGAACAAGGACATTCTCTTACATAACCAGTACAATGATGAAAGTCAAGAAACTTAACATCGATATAACATGATTATCTAAACCACAATCCCTATTCAGAGTTCATCCATTGTCTCAATGATGTCTTTTGTAAGTACTTATTATTCTGGTTCAGGATCTATCATCACTCAGTGCATTTAGTCATCCTCTTTAGATTTATTTAATCTCAAATATTTCTTCAGACTTTTCTTTCCTTGACTGTCAGCGATTATTTTGTACAATTTCCTCAATTTGGTTTACTCTGATGTTTCCTTATGATTTGAGTCAAGTAATTCATTTTGGGCAGGAATTCCAGAGAACTGCTGCTTTTTTTTTTCTTCAGAGTCTTGCTCTGTCGCCAGGCTGGAGTGCAGTGGCATGATCTCGGCCCATTGCAACCTCTGACTCCCTGGTATAAGCGATTCTCCTGCCTCAGCCTCCCGAGTAGCTGAGATTACAGGCATGTGCCACCACGCCCAGCTAATTTTTGTATTTTTAGTAGAGATGGGATTTCACCATGTTGGCCAGGATGGTCTGGATCTCCTGACCTCGTGATCTGCCCACCTTGGCTTCCCAAAGTGCTGCGATTATAGGCATGAGCCACCGCACCCGGCCTTGCTGTGTTCTCTTCAGTACATTGTAATATCAGGTAATATATGTCAGTTCATCCCACTATTGGTGATGTCGTCCCTGACTCAAGTGATCCTCTCACCTCAGCCTCCTGAGTAGCTGGGACTGTAGGGGCGCACACCACACCCAGGTAATTCACTTTTTTGTAGAGACTAGATCTTGCCTTGTTGCCCAGGCTGGTCTTGAACTCCTGGGTTCAAGCAATCCTCCTAACTTGGCCTCCCAAAGTGTTGGGATTATAGGTAAGAGCCACCATGCCTCGCCCAAAGATGGCATTTTAAATGGCATGAGCACAAGCAATAACATAGGTGACCAAAATCTACCAAAGACTTTCTCATTTCTATAGAACAAACTCTTTGCCCCTCCCTCCATAAGTCCTTCCGGAGTGTCTTAATGGCTAGGAGAAAGTTTGAGCTGGAAGACAGCTTGGATTTCATATGGTTCGCTGTTTTCCAAGTATGGGAGGGATGCTTACTACTGGTGAGAAAAAGATGATTTTTTAAAAAAATGTGTTGCATGTTTATATTAGGTTAAATTGTGTCACTTAGTAGCAAAGGCTTTGCCATCTCAATGATCTTTTCAATCTTCTGAACACATCAAGTAGGAAGGCTCAGTTGGGTGCTATTCCATCTTGTAGCCTGTCTTAACAATCTCAAACAGTTGCTAATTTCCCTCCCTCCCTCCCTCCCTCCTTCCTTCCTTTCCTCCCTCCCTTCCTTCCTTCCTTCCTTCCTTCCTTCCTTCCTTCCTTCCTTCCTTCCTTCCTTCCTTCCTTTGTTTACAAAGAAAGGAATGGTTTTGGGTTCAGAGTCTTTGTGGCAGTATATAGTAATTAGTATACAGTAATATAGTAATATATAGGAGTACATAGTAATTCAATGCCTTTAGGTCAATATATTTTCCATTTTTACTGTGCATACACATATATACAATGTATTTTAAAAATTGGCTTTATAATATGTAGTTTTATCACTTGGTTTACAACTAAATATATTGTGAACATTTTCTACAACAGTTAAAAGAATTGCATAGCTTGGAGGAGACATAATTTATTAAGCAATCTTGTTGGGGACATTGAGGTATAATTTTATTTTTATAAGGAGACTTCATTCTTTTTACAACACCTTTGGGGAAAAAATGGGAGTCCTTGTCTCATATAGCTTTCCATAGATGATGGAAACTTGCCCTTCCATTTAGCCTTTTAATTTGCTTCTCTACACCCACCTAATCACCATCAAGTAACCCATTTTGTGTTTTCCAACTTCTCTCTCCCATTTGCTTCCTCTTTCCTACCCAGTCTCCCTGCATACATGCAGATGAATTTCCATTCCTTCAACCCTCTGTTTCCTCCCCTTAACGAGGCTTTCTTTCCTTTTAAAGAGACTGTTTTAATTGATTTTTATCAACTCTACTCAAAACTGTATCCTAAGGTCCACATAGTCTTTAATAATCTGAAGATATAATTCAATTGTTTAAAATAACATTTTAAGAAGACCTTGGTAGAATTATATGTATCAAGAAACACTGGACTTAGGCACAACGGAGATATGGCTGACTTTCTTTTGACAAAAGAAGTAGTTTTGGTGGGGAGGGCAGGGCAAAGAGGTAAGAAGTAGTTGGCATTATAAGGAAATGTTAGAGACCATTTTGGAAATGTATTCATTATTTTAAGGCAACTAACAAATGATCATCTTTCAGTTAGGACATTGTAGCAGCAGCCTTTACTGGTCATGAAATTTGCATGATAACTAAAATTGTATTTCTGGAAATAGGTCAACGGCAATTAATAGTAACTTTGTATAGAAAGGTAGATGCCAGCTAGCATAAAAGTGGTACATGCAGACGGTGGTAGTTCTGGAGTCCTGGAAGCCGTGAGGTGCTCATCCATCACAAGGCCAGCACAGCCAGGTAGAAATGCCTGAAGAAAGCAGCGGAGCTGGCTGTGCCAGCATTTACACATGGAACACTTCTTGGACAGCCGGGTGTCATGGAGCACAGACCCACAGTTCTCTTTGCATAAGTCGTGCTCACAGTTCCACCCATAGAAGGAGTGGGGGGCAGGCACAAAAGGACCCCAGCATGCAGGTTCCCCCATTCAGGCAGCAGGTTCTGTTTAGCTCCTTACTGTCCTGTATCCCCACGGGGAGGCACAAGCTGGGAAGACGGAGGACAGACTGCAGGCTCCTGGTGGGGCCGAATGCTGTCATCTCTGAAGGCCACGTCTCCCTGAGAGGGACGCACAAGTTCCTGATGGCCCAGCCCTTAACGACCAGTTCAACACCTTTAAAAAATTGCCTTTACTTTTACGGTTACTGGCTGTTTACTGAACATTTCATATAATTTTAAATTTAGAAATGAAAACTTCACAGGTGGAATTGAATTTCATATAATTTTCAGTAAACAGCCAGTAACCGTAAAAGTAAAGGTAATTTTTAAAATTACATTTTACAAAGTGAAGTAAAATAAGTGAGTCAATCTAGAGACATTTTAAGAACTTAAAGAAAACTTAGGTATGGATCTCTGGAAGAGGTAAGGAGAGATATGGCTCATAGTTGTGCAGATAACACAGGAATTACTTAAGTTTGGGAAATTCCGATTTAGGCCAAATTTCTTAAAGGAAATTGACAAGCCGGCTGGCTGACTCTTTCTCTCCACAGGCTTCCTGATGGAAACGTGGCAGGCAAACAACGATGCTGGCAAGAAATAGGACAGGCCGCATGAAGGCCTGGAGCGTTTTAAGCCCAGGTTGAGAGCACAGGTGCAGGCTTCCTAGTGTAGGTTCCGACGCACCTGCCTTCAATTTCTGCCTCTACTATCCATTTAGGCTGTGACCTCTGGTAGTTCTCCACTTTCTCTAATTCTCAGTTACTTCATCCTTAAGAAGTGGTACATAACTCACACCTTGTTCGGATTATATGAGTATGTGTGCATACACCGTTTAGTGCAACGTATGGCACAGAGTCAAGAAACGCAGGATATTAAGTTGAGGTCATTTTTCTTTTGGGAGGACAAGGACAGGGCACGGGCTGGGGCTCTGAGTGGTAACCAGCGCGGGCTTTTCCTCCTGCCCTTCCTTTTGGGAAACGAATGTGCTAAAATAGTGCATGCAGCCCAGGCTCTGGCCTAGGCCGTCGGTTCCCGGCCATGTTTAGCTCCTCTGAGGTCGCCCTTAGTGAGAACACGAGGTGCCCCCACCCCGTTCACTCTAGACACCTCCAGAACACTCGCCTCCCGAGCACTGGAGCCCCGGGACACCCACAGCGGCCAGAGGAGCCCGATCTCCCGGCTCTGCGTCCCAGGACCGCTTGGTGCAACCTGCGCATGCGCACCCGCGTCCCTCTGCTGTTAGCCGTTTCCATGGCTACGAAGCCCATCGGCCGGGGATAGGAGAGCAAGAAAATGAAGCTCAAGAGTTTCCTGCTCCGGTATTATCCGCCAGGTACGCGCCAACCCGGCCCGTCAGCCCCACGTGGGACCCTGGGCTCCCAGACTGGGAGGGTTTGGGGCGGAGGAGGGCACGGGGACTGAGGGGCGGCGGGGTCCCCAGGTGGGACCGGAAGTCGGGCACTTCCTAACCTGTGCCCCTCATTCCTTCAGATGCTGGACTCTTCCTCAAAACATTAACAATTACTCTTTTAGGAATTTAAAGAGTTTAGCTTGACTGTGCATATCAGTCCGTCTGAATTTATTGAGTGCCTACTGCTTACACGCTTTGTGCCCTGTGCTATGAACCTTTAACGAAGTTCATAGTCCTTGATATCAATGAGTGAAGTAATTATGGAATAAATTACTTAACTATTACTTAGTAACATAAGCAATACATTAATTACCTAATCCTTGCCTAACTCTAATTTTAGGTGAGGACATGGTCACCTTTAAAGAATAAGTGACACCCATTGATCACCCAGCTTGTTAGGGACAGAAATAGAAGTGGAATTCTTGGGTTCTAATTCAGAACTCATTTTCTGAATTAGAAACATCCACAAACAAACAAACAAATCTGCAAAACATGCCACAAGGCAGAAGATAACCAAATACACTTGCCCAATGAAGTTTGGATAGGAAGTGTCATGAAGATTTCAAAGGAGGGTAAGATACTTTGGACCTGTTTGGTTTAGAATAGCTTTATGAGGGGTGGGACTTGAATTTACGGTTGAATGTCTCACTTTTCCCAGCAACATATTCAACATCTCCGATGAGGTATCACACAGAGATCTCATGATTTCTTTTTTCCAGTCCCATCCCAATCCTGCTGCTTCCTCAGACTGTGCCCTGCCAGTAGAAGGCATCATCAATCACCCAGCCTGTTTTTTTGCCAGAAACCTAGGTGGTCACTTTTTGTTTCTCTCTTGTGATCATTAATTCCACCCCCCCACCCCTTCATTGCTTTATCCATTCTGCCAGCTCTAAGTCCAAAATATTCTGTGAATCCATCAGATTATCCCTCTTTCCATAGCACAGATTTCTTGGTCTAACATCCCTTCCAGCTGCCAGCCTAGTCCAACCCTCCATTCCAGCCACCATTCCCTCTGGCTGGGCCATTCCAGTGGATTTCAACTGGATTCCTGGTTTTCTCCCTCATCTCCTACAATCCATTTGCCACTAGGAGCCAGTGGAATCTGAATTCAAGATCTCCAATAGTTTCCTACCGTGCTGAGAATACAATCCGCACCCTGTGGGATTTGTCTTATCCTACCCTGTTAACTTCTAAAACTTCACTTGTGTACCCTCACTATACTTCTGACTTCTTTAGCTTGTTCTTTTAAGACTTAAGAGAGGGTCTTTTACTCGTTTGTTTTGTGGACCCAGCTTTCCCTAGAGCTAGGAAAAGCTGCTTCCTTTTCTTTATTCAGTTTCAATCGATGTCAGCCACCCGAAGAGACTTTCCCACCTATTCAAAGTAGCCTGTGCTGATTTTACTCTATGCCATAAAGTGCTTAAAAATTATATTTGTCAGCATCCAAAACTCTGCTTGTTATGTTTCAAATGTCTGCCTCTTTCCCATTTAATGTAAACTTCGTGAGAACTAAGATCTTAGTGTTTTTTGATCATTGTAGCATCCCCAGCTTCTAGAGGAGATTTGGGGACATAGGAGATCAGGAATGTTTGTTGAATGAATGTACGGATAAATGGATGTGTTTGATGAGAGGTCAGGTATGGAAATTACTGAGAATAAATACTGAAAATCTTAAGGGATACTGCTTCTGCCTCCCTGGAAGACCAATCCTGGACAGCTACTTTCTCCAATGGAAAGTTGACATTTGTAGAAAAGACACTCATTTTCTCCATCATAGAATTCCAGTTAAAATAACATGAGAAAGATCTATATATATGAGAGTGTCTAGAGAAATTTATTTTATGTAATTAATTAATTAATTTAATTTTTGAGACAGAGTCTTGCTCTGTCGCCCAGGTTGGAGTGCAGTGGCACAATCTTGGCTCACTGTAACCTCCACCTCCTGGATTCAAACGATTCTCATCCCTCAGCCTCCCAGGTAGCTGAAATCACAGGTGTGCACCACCATGCCCAGATAATTTTTGTATTTTTAGTAGAGACGGGGTTTCACTATGTTGGCCAGGCTGGTCTTGAATTCCTGACCTCAAGTGATCCACCTGTCTTGGCCTCCCAAAGTGCTGGGATTACAGGTGTGACCCACTGCACCAGGCTGAGAGTATCTATGAAATTTAAATTAGGCATAGGTATATAGTATATAGAAAATTTTAAATTAAGACTAATAGTCTGTTTCCTTTAAGTATTCCACAATTATCTTTTGGCTCTTCTTGCCCATAGGCCTGTGCTGTTTCCCATAGGGGTACCAATGAATGAAGCTCTTGCTTTCATCCCTTTGTTGTGGAGTGTAGGTTAAGGATGTGGGCTTTGGGTTCAGAATAACCGATTCTCACCATATACAATAATAATAATAAAAAAAAACTTGGGCAATTTGTTTTATTCTGTCAAAGCATGGGTACATGGTGACAACAGCACCACTTCACAGGTCTACTAGACCCTTTCAGCTGCTTATCTTATTCGATTCTTTCTCTTCAGAGGAAAGAAACCTTTTTGGAAGAATACTCTCCCCAGGTGCTGTCCTCCCTTCCTATCATGCTTTCACCCTGATTGCCCCACTGAAACTGCCCACTTCAAGATCTCCAATGACATTCCCATTGCTAATCCACTGGCCAAGCCACAGTCCTTGCCTGCCTTGACCTGACAGCAGCATTCGACCCATTTGACCGCTGTGCTTTTCTTTGGCTTCCAGGACACATATTCTATTTTCCTTCCTGTCTCGCTGTCACTTCTTCTGGGTCCATCTTGTTGGTTCCTCTTCTTCTTTTTGATTATTTAATGTTGGAGCGCCCTAGAGCACCAAACTTGGATTTCCCGTTTCTATCTACGCTCATACACTAGCCAGTCTCATCCATTCTCAAGGCTTAAAAACTATCCTGAAGCTGGGCGCCGTGGCTCACGTCTGTAATCCCAGCATTTTGGGAGGCTGAGGTTGGCGGATCACCTGAGGTCAGGAGTTTGAGACCAGCCTGCCCAACATGGTGAAACCCCATCTCTACTAAAAATACAAAATACAAATTAGCCCGGTGTGGTGGTGCGAGTCTGTAATCCCAGCAACTCAGGAGGCTGAGGCAGGAGAATTGCTTGAACCTGGGAGGTGGAGGTTGCAGTGAGCCAAGACTGCACCAATGCACTCCAGCCTGGGTGCCAGAGCGAGACTCTGTCTCAAAAAAAAAAAAGAAACAAAAAACAAAAAACAAACCATCCTGCATAGTCCTGAGTACCTAACCACCCACTCGCCACATTCATTTGAATGTCCACCGTACATCTCAGATGGGGGTCTCCCATGGTCTCCCCCATCTCAGCAAATTGCAGCTCCATTTCTCCACTTGCTCATGTCAGACATTTTGAACTCTTCCTTGTCTCCTCTCTCTCATCTCCACATCCACTAACAGATCCTGCTGGTCCTGCCCTCAAAATATATGCAGAATTCAACAATTTCTCCTACCTGACCGGTACCATTCTTTTTAGCTTGAAAGCTTCCTTCCACCTTTGCCCCTCTTCAGTCTATATGGCAATGGGGTGGTTCTGTTAGAGCATAATATGACCATGTCACTCTTCTGCTCCAGCCCTCCAATGGCTTCGCAGCTCGCTTAAAGTAAAAGGGCCGTGATCCCCAAGGCGCTGCAAAATCTCACCCCGTTGCTTCCCTGACCTCACCACTTTCGACTTTTCTCTCCAGCAACACTCCTCTCCTTGGTGTTCCTTGGATGGGGCAGAGGTGTTCCCACCCAGGGTCTGCAGTTGCTGTTCTTTCTGCCTTGAATAACCTACCCTTGGACATTTGTATCGCTAGTGCCCCAGCTTTTTAAACTCTTTCCTCAACAGTGTGTAAAGTGAAGACTTAGATGACTCCTTTCTGAACATTTCTATCTTCTTTCCATGATATTTCACAGCCCCTTTCCCTGGTTTGTCTTTTCTCCTTGGGGCTATCTTTTTCTAACTCATCATTATTTTACTCATTTATTTTGCTTACTGAGAATAAAAGATTGATGAAGGTAGAAACTTTGTCTATTTTGTTTACTCCTTATCTCTAGCACCCAGAGGAGAGCCTGGTGCATAAAATGACATTAATGTTTTTGTTGAATAAGGGAGTTTAATGAGATGATGTGTGTTAAGCAGAATGCCTCAAACTCTTCTTGAAATGTGAAAGGGCCAGATAAGCGATGTTTGATCTACTTCAGCTCTAAAAGCCTAGGATTCTTTTCTTTTTCTTTTTTTTTTTTTTTTTTTTTTGAGATGGAGTCTAGCTCTGTCACTGAGACTGGAGTGCAGTGGCTGATCTTGGCTCACTGCAAGCTCTGCCTCCTGGGTTCATGCCATTCTCCTGCCTCAGCCTCCCAAGTAGCTGGGACTACAGGCACCCACCACTACGCCTGGCTAATTTTTTTTTTTTTTTGTATTTTCAGTAGAGACGGGGTTTCTCCGTGTTAGCCAGGATGGTCTGGATCTCCTGACCTCATAATCTGCCCACCTTGGCCTCCCAAAGTGCTGGGATTACAGGCATGAGCCACCGTGCCCAGCCAAGCCTAGGATTCTTGTAGCGATCTTAGGCTCATGTAATTCTCTTGACTCATGCTTGCGACTGTTGCCTTAATGCCTATCTTGTAATGAGGTCATATTACTTAGCATGCTTGACATTTAATTTCTGAATTCCAATCTTTGGTGAGCCAAATCATATGCAAGTTTCCAAGATACTACTGAATAGCAGGTGGGTGTTTCAATAATAGCATTATCAGATAGGAAAAAATCGTTCCACTGAATCATTCCCGTGCTACCTTCATCCCTTCTGCCTATAGAGCAGTTTTGTTTTGCCTCCCGATCCTCTAATTTTCGCCCTCCCACTTTCTTTTGGATAACGTATAGGTCAG